ATGACTTTTGTTGGTTAAAACATGTAGTTATCCTGAATGTAAATATCAATAACAAACCTTCTATTTACATTTATTTTGATAAAGTTTTCATAAAATACTTATGAAATAAAGAAAAATTTACCTACTTGTAATTGTACCTTACACATATTGCTTAAACATCAAGACATCATCATTAATGCCACAACAACAAAACATTTCCAAACAAGAAAAGGATTAAATGTTTTATTTAGAGAATACATATATCAAGTCACATTACATCAAGATGTCTTTAATTTCTCTTTAAAATATGCTGATATTAATTTAAGCTGAAATATAATCCTGCCATTACTTCTCAAACATGAGCTCCCAGAGGGATCTTGGCACCCACTGTTGTTTGATTTTTATATGCTCTTTGAAAGTTTCCCTTCTTTTCTCTCATCTTCTCTGTTTTTACTCATAATGAGACATTTGAACATTCCTTTGCAGAAATAGCAGTGATTATCTTTACCTGCCAAATCCAAAATGGCCACCTGGAAGCCATTTTGTTTCTTCTGATCAGTCCCAAAATCAAACCGGAGCGACTAGGGACCAAGGGGCCCCTAAACTTACAATTTGAGAAAGATCTATGCATTAATTCTCTAGAAATAGTGATAACAATCTTTCAAGCAAAAATCCAAGATGACCGACTGTCAGTCATCTTTGTTTTTCTGATCAGTCCCAAACTCGCAGAGGCACAAGGGACCTAAAGGAACCTATACATGAAATTTGAGAAAGGTCTCTAGAGTACTCCTCATGAAAAAGTGATAACAAACTTGCAAAGTCAAAATCCAAGATGGCCATTTTGTATTTCTCATAAGTCCCAAAATTAGGCACAACCTGGGACAAAATGGAATCTATATATGATATTTGAGAAAGATCTATACAGCAGTTCTCAAAAAATGTTGATAAAAAACATTTTTTTTTTATTACACCCAAAATCAAATGGGCACAACTAGAGACCAAGGTGAACCTACATATGAAATTTGAGAAAGATCCATCACTTACTTTTCAAGAAATAATGATAACAAACTTATTTGAAAAAATCCAAGATGGCTGCCTGGTGGCTATCGGTTTTTTTTTTCAGTCCCAAGTCCCAAAATCAAACAGGCACAACTAGGGACCAAGGGGAACATACATTTGCAATTGGAGAAAGGTCCATCCAGTACTTCTCAAGAAATAGTGATAACAAAATATTGTTTAAGGTCTGACGGACGATGGACCACAGACTATGAGCGATTTGAATAACCCACCATCTGATGATGGTGGTCTAAAAATTCATGACACCTGTCTGGCATTGTATTTTCCAATCAGTCTACATTTGAAAAAGATCCAAACATCTCAAAAAGAGCAATAACAAGAACTGTATAGGGTTGAAGGATGATTACATCATCATCTGTTGATGGTATGCTGATAAATGGAGAATAGAGAAATCAGTCCAGGGTGTCAAGTATTCCTATTTTTCCTATTTTTTCCTACTTTATTGAAAATTCCTTTTTTTTCCTATTTTTTAAGAAAAAGTTCCTATTTTTCCTATTTTTTAGACATTTTGTGTTCGATATTCGATAACTCCTATTTAACTCCTATTTAGCTGTTAAGATCCTTTGATCTGAAATTCCAAATTTTCAGTATCTAAATCTTGATAGCTTACATGTGTACGTATAATAGACTAGGGTATCATATATTTAGTGATAAACCAGCTGTCTGTAATCTGCTTTGCTTGATTGAAGATGTCTTAATGCATGTGGTGCAACTATAGCTACTCCTTGTGATGCTTTCAGATATATGGTCTTGCAACACCTGTATTTGAATTATACCCACCTCATTTTATTTCTAGTGATTGGCTATTTCTCTTTGTTGTAACATATTCATCATTGCTAACCACTTGCCCCACTGAAAACATACCATGCTTGCACAACTCTTTAATTATTTCACTTCAGAGAATGAGTACTACTACTTCAATCAAATGGATCACAGGGCATTCTATTCCAGATTTATGCTTTTAAAAAGTTAACTCTTTTTCTCCTGATGAATATGCTATTAAGGAGTGAAAAAGTTATCATTATTACAAATATATAACATGTTATTTCTTTTTACAGGTGCCTGATGGTATAGTTTGACTTTACATATATTATTTACAATGCCTAGTGGGAAAACAAAATTTAGCGCAGAATGGCTACACCATATTGACAGTAATCATCAGAAATTGGGTGAATGGTGTAGAAAGGGAAAAGACAATTTTCATGCATACTGTCGTTTTTGTGATGTGGATATGAAGTGTGACAATTCAGGGAAACAGCAATTGTTACAGCATGCAAAAAAAGAAAAGCACAGGAAAGCTATTACATCTGTAAAGGATGACAAGCAGGGAAAATTGTTTTTTCCTGCTGCTGCTCTCGTTCTAGTAGTTCAGGTACTTTCAGTTGTTCATCCGAACTTTGAAGTTATAAACTACAGTGATTCTGCACTAGTAGCTCAGATTTACTGGTTAGGTAAAGTTGCTTGTAGTAATTTTAGCCTTCGGTCTATTGATAACATTGGATCAACATTTGCACACATGTTTCCTGATAGCAAAATAGCTGCAAATTTTTCACTCAGTAGGACAAGCTCATCCTATATGATTGGAGAGGGAATGGCTCCTGTTCTTAGGAACACCATTGTACATGATGTGGTCAATTCAGGGCTTCCATTTTGATGAAACAACAACTGCCCAAGTGAAGAAACAAATGGATCTTACACTACGATACTGGTCACCAACACACAACAAAGTTTGGGTTACATTCTACAACTCTCTATTTTTTGGACATGCAGAGGGGGATAAAGTTGCATCAAAAATGCATGAGAAAATGTCAGAAGATGGCCTACCATTAAATAATTTGAGCACTCTTGTACGTGATGGACCAAATGTTAACAAAACTATTTTTAGAAAGTTGGAGAATCTGATAAAAGAGGAACATACAGATTTTCTTGGCTTTGTTGATCTTGGAAGTTGTGCACTCCATTTAGTTCATAATGCTTTTGGCAAGGGGTTAGAGAAGTTTGGAAAAGACATCGATCAGTTGTGTTTGGATTTGCATGCCTTGTTCAAATACAGTGCAGCAAGGAGAGAAGATTTCATGAAGCTGCAAATGGAAATGAATGCCGATATTCAGAATTTTCAACAACACACTGAGGTTCGATGGCTGAGTATTGGTCCAGCTATTAACCGTATTCTTGAGCAATGGGATGTTATTGTCAAGTTTATTGAAGATTTAGCAAAGGATGAAAAGAAATCTCCCAAAGTGTTAATTATAAGAGAGCTGCAGCTTTGCTTACAGGTTCTGAGAAAGCCAGTACTAAAGTTCTACTTGAATTTCTGAAATATATTATACCTGTATTTAAAGAATTCCTTACTGTCTTCCAGAAAAGTGGTCCAACATTTCACACTGTTTATGACAGCATGTGTAACACACTTTTGAAACTCATGAGAAGATTTTTAAAACCCAGTGCCCTAGAAGGAAAATATGGAAGTAACTTAGAAGCTGTGCAATGTCAGGATGTAAAACTGCAGCTAACTGATAATGAGCTTGTAGTTGGTGACAAAGTGAGAAAAGAACTTTCAAAGCTGAAGCCAGAAAAACAAAAGTTGATGGTCCTTGGCATTCGAGCATTAAAATTAAGTTTAAATTATTTCAGAATACCGAAATAATATGTTCCCCTTTGAAAGCAGAACATTAACATTTTGGTATTCTTAAATAATTTCCATCAAACTTTTTTACCTTACTAATTAATTACATTTTTTTTTTGAAGTTGTTAATACAAAATAAGTGCTTTCAAAGTTTACATATATCTCCATTACTAATTTTATTTCATTAATAAAGTGGTGGAACGGGATGGCTGAAGGGGTGTTGGGAGGCCACCAAGAAGAAAAATTCCTATTTTATATATATTTTTTCCAAAAAAATCCTATTTTTTTCCTATTTTTGGACATCTAAAATTCCTATTTTCCTATTTTTTTTGGACCCTTTTTACGCTTGACGCCCTGTCAGTCAGAAAATCAGTGTTCTTAACAAGCAAATTTTTACCAGGTGCAGAACCTGACTATCTTTTAACCTACAATAACAATGCTTATCCTACAAAGAAGTCCTAGGTTAAATATACAAGTCTCTGGTCTTCAGAGGGTCTGCATTGAAGTTAATGCTGCTCAGTGATTTCCAAGTCTTACCTGTATTTTGTGTGGTGTCATTTGTAATGATAATGTTAGGAATACATGGTAAAATTGTCACTTAACTTTAACTTTTGCTGTTAGTATCAAAATCTACATCCACTATCCATAGTTTATGAGCACTTATCTCTCAAGTATGCTGTTTTGCTTGGAGATAACTGTGAACTCAGTTATTGAAAAAAACAAAGAAAAAAAAAGTCATATTTCAGCAATGTCGAAATACACAGAACCAGTGTTCTGTTTATAACACGTTAATTAGTTATCATAATGGAGTACATCAAAAACATTGAAGATTTCAAAAATAAGGGAGCTGCATTAATACTTCTAAGAAATTTGTGTCACCTTCTCCCAGGTATGAGCCAGTGCACTTGGCACATGAATAGAACCTGAATTCAAAATGGTGAGCAGTGATGTGTAAGAGCATTTATCCCAGTTACTGTATAAAGTTGTTTATTCAGTAAAAAATAGACCCTCAATGGAAACAAGGCTGATTATTATGTGAATAATAGCTTCTTTACAGAGAGTTACACATGTTTGTGCATTAGTTTAATTAATTTACAAAAGCAGATAGTGATCGTTATCTGGTTGTGTGATACATGGGGAAAGGTTGCAATGGTCAAAATTTCTTAGTAGTGTAAATGTCACATGACCCATCAGAAAGAATGGTAGCTGTGCTATATAGCGCAAACAGGCTTGTAACAACCAAGTAATAAGGTAAGATACACAAAAGATAGAGAATAAATAAAATCTTTTATGATGTACATCATTTACAGTCATTTGGCCCTAACAATTCCTAACTCTAAACCAGGAAAAAGAGTCCTCCCATTCTTGACTCAAGACCAGCAAAAGGAGTCCTCACAATTCTTGACTCAGGTGTTGCAAAGAGAGTTCTCATATTCTTGACTTATTGCCAGCAAAGAATGTACACATATTCTTGTCTCATGACCAGCAAAAACAGTCCTCACAATTCTTGACTCGTGACCAGCAAAGAGAGTCCTCATATTCTTGACTCATGACCAGCAAAAAGAGTCCTCATATTCTTGACTCATGACCAGCAAAAAGAGTCCTCACAATTCTTGACTCGTGACCAGCGAAGAGAGTCCTCATATTCTTGACTCATGACCAGCAAAAAGAGTCCTCACAATTCTTGACTCGTGACCAGCAAAAAGAGTCCTCACAATTCTTGACTCATAGCCTCCTCTCTTATAATCAGTAAAGTCACTCATCACAATAGTTGATTCATGACCAGGGAAGGGAATCTGCACAATTCTTGTCCCCAATGATGTTCAAACATTGATCCACAAATTCAGTGAAGATTGGTTTTTGCATAGCCTTATCCATGGCTGTTCTTGGGTTGTCTGCCCTTGTTAGACTGGTCATCATGTCACGTAAATAAGGATTTTCAAGCATTTGGTGAAGGTCTGGACACTCACCTGGTAAAGAAAAAATACAAGGAACCATTACTTACAATACAATTTCAAAAATGATAATACTATCCTGCAGTATGAAAACTCTCGAACAAGAAAGTAGCAAGTGCTACCATTTTTAATTGTATTTACTATAATCTTGGGCTGATAATGGGAAATGACTCCTTTTTGGTTGCTGTATAGAAATCAATTTACATAATAAACTATACCTATTGTATGGACAGTATTTACCTAACTCCTGTTAGGTGTTGTAACTACAGTATTTACCTAACTCCTATTAGCTGTTGTAACTACAGTATTTACCTAACTCCTGTTAGCTGTTGTATTGACAGTATTTACCTAACTCCTGTTAGCTGTTGTAACTACAGTATTTACCTAACTCCTGTTAGCTGTTGTAACTACAGTATTAACCTAACTCCTGTTAGCTGTTGTATTGACAGTATTTACCTAACTCCTGTTAGCTGTTGTAACTACAGTATTTACCTAACTCCTGTTAGCTGTTGTATTGACAGTATTTACCTAACTCCTGTTAGCTGTTGTAACTACAGTATTTACCTAACTCCTGTTAGCTGTTGTAACTACAGTATTTACCTAACTCCTGTTAGCTGTTGTATTGACAGTATTTACCTAACTCCTGTTAGCTGTTGTAACTACAGTATTTACCTAACTCCTGTTAGCTGTTGTAACTACAGTATTTACCTCACTCCTGTTATGCGTTGCATTGACAGTATTTACCTAACTCCTGTTAGCTGTTGTAACTACAGTATTTACCTCACTCCTGTTAGGTGTTGTAACTACAGTATTTACCTAACTCCTGTTAGCTGTTGTATTGACAGTATTTACCTAACTCCTGTTAGCTGTTGTAACTACAGTATTTACCTAACTCCTGTTAGCTGTTGTAAATACAGTATTTACCTAACTCCTGTTAGCTGTTGTATTGACAGTATTTACCTAACTCCTGTTAGCTGTTGCAACTACAGTATTTACCTAACTCCTGTTAGCTGTTGTAACTACAGTATTTACCTAACTCCTGTTAGCTGTTGTAACTACAGTATTTACCTAACTCCTGTTAGCTGTTGTAACTACAGTATTTACCTAACTCCTGTTAGCTGTTGTAACTACAGTATTTACCTATCTCCTGTTATGCTTTGCATTGACAGTATTTACCTCACTCCTGTTATGCGTTGCATTGACAGTATTTACCTAACTCCTGTTAGGTGTTGTAACTACAGTATTTACCTCACTCCTGTTAGGTGTTGTAACTAAAGTATTTACCTAACTCCTGTTAGCTGTTGTAACTACAGTATTTACCTCACTCCTGTTATGCGTTGCATTGACAGTATTTACCTAACTCCTGTTAGGTGTTGTAACTACAATATTTACCTCACTCCTATTAGGTGTTGTAACTACAGTATTTACCTAACTCCTGTTAGCTGTTGTAACTACAGTATTTACCTAACTCCTGTTAGCTGTTGTAACTACAGTATTTACCTCACTCCTGTTATGCGTTGCATTGACAGTATTTACCTAACTCCTGTTAGGTGTTGTAACTACAATATTTACCTCACTCCTATTAGGTGTTGTAACTACAGTATTTACCTAACTCCTGTTAGCTGTTGTAACTACAGTATTTACCTAACTCCTGTTAGCTGTTGTAACTACAGTATTTACCTCACTCCTGTTATGCGTTGCATTGACAGTATTTACCTAACTCCTGTTAGGTGTTGTAACTACAGTATTTACCTCACTCCTGTTAGGTGTTGTAACTACAGTATTTACCTAACTCCTCTGAGCTGTTGTAACAACAGTATTTACCTAAATCCTGTTAGCTGTTGTAACTACAGTATTTACCTAACTCCTCTTAGCTGTTGTAACTACTGTAACAAAATGAGTAAAAAAAATGGGTTTAATGGTAATTTTGGAATGGTGTGTATCGTAGAGAGCAGCATCTTAGTTTAAAGTACATCAGGTCAAAAGTCAGTTAATCCCGTGAGTGATAGATAGTGATGCACGCCTGATAACGGGCGGGGTGTGTACCCAAGTGGTGAAGCACCGTGGCAGAATATCGCCATTATGATTGATCAGGACAGGTAGATGCTTTCTTGTATGCCTCGCGCTGGCGAACACATTTGTAAGTAAACAAGATAAGAAACAATGTATAAGGTAGATCAAAGATGGGAAGTTGATAACGGGTACTCCTAGTCGCACGTGCCTTCATAATTAGATGCTCCGGGGGCTGGGTTATTGTTGTCCAATTGGGACTAGGCTTGAATTAAGTATTTGGGTATTATTTATACAAAGGTAATAGCCAGCACTAGTGTAGTCGAGTCTGGGATCGAGTAGCTAGAGAGAGTTGGGAGTCGGACGTGCAGACGGGCAGAGTCCCGTATGGGACCTGCTCCGCGATGGAGTGGGTCCTGGCCAAGTTGGCCCATGGACATTTGTATGGAACTCTTTGATATGGACGGGCAGGTTTTTAGTTTTTGTCTGCCTTACACAGGTGTTTAGTTTTGGTGCCACGACATGATGCTGTATGTTGATTAGGAACTATCTTTTGTAATGGATACTAACGCGAAGTACTAACTATGGAAAACCACTATACGATGAAATAAACGTTTCGGTCAACCCAAGTAAACACTGTGTTTGGTCATTGTGTTACACTACAGTATTTACCTAACTCCTGTTAGGTGTTGTAACTACAGTATTTACCTAACTCCTGTTAGGTGTTGTAACTACAGTATTTACCTAACTCCTGTTAGCTGTTGTATTGGCAGTATTTACCTAACTCCTGTTAGCTGTTGTAACTACAGTATTTACCTAACTCCTGTTAGCTGTTGTAACTACAGTATTTACCTAACTCCTGTTAGCTGTTGTAACAACAGTATTTACCTAAATCCTGTTAGCTGTTGTAACTACAGTATTTACCTAACTCCTGTTAGGCATTGTATTGAAAGTATTTACCTAACTCCTGTTAGCTGTTGTAACTACAGTATTTACCTAACTCCTGTTATGTGTTGTATTGACAGTATTTACCTAACTCCTGTTAGCTGTTGTAACTACAGTATTTACCTACCTCCTCTGAGCTGTTGTAACTACAGTATTTACCTAACTCCTGTTAGGTGTTGTAACTACAGTATTTACCTAACTCCTGTTAGCTGTTGTATTGACAGTATTTAACTAACTCCTGTTAGCTGTTGTAACTACAGTATTTACCTAACTCCTGTTAGCTGTTGTAACAACAGTGTTTACCTAAATCCTGTTAACTGTTGTAACTACAGTATTTACCTAACTCCTCTGAGCTGTTGTAACTACAGTATTTACCTAACTCCTCTTAGCTGTTGTAACTACAGTATTTACCTACCTCCTCTTAGCTGTTGTTACTAGAGTATTTACCTAACTCCTGTTAGGTGTTGTAACGACAGTATTTACCTAACTTCTGTAAGCTATTGTAACTACAGTATTTACCTAACTCCTGTTAGCTGTTGTAACAACAGTATTTACCTAACTCCTGTTAGCTGTTGTAACTACAGTATTTACCTAACTCCTCTGAGCTGTTGTAACTACAGTATTTACCTAACTCCTGTTAGCTGTTGTAACTACAGTATTTACCTAACTCCTGTTAGCTGTTGTAACTACAGTATTTACCTAACTCCTCTGAGCTGTTGTAACTACAGTATTTACCTAACTCCTCTTAGCTGTTGTAACTACAGTATTTACCTACCTCCTCTTAGCTGTTGTTACTAGAGTATTTACCTAACTCCTGTTAGGTGTTGTAACGACAGTATTTACCTAACTTCTGTTAGCTGTTGTAACTACAGTATTTACCTAACTCCTGTTAGCTGTTGTAACAACAGTATTTACCTAACTCCTGTTAGCTGTTGTAACTACAGTATTTACCTAACTCCTCTGAGCTGTTGTAACTACAGTATTTACCTAACTCCTGTTAGGTGTTGTAACTACAGTATTTACCTAACTCCTGTTATGTGTTGTATTGACAGTATTTACCTAACTCCTGTTAGGTGTTGTAACTACAGTATTTACCTAACTCCTGTTAGCTGTTGTAACTACAGTATTTACCTACCTCCTCTTAGCTGTTGTTACTACAGTATTTACCTAACTCCTGTTAGCTGTTGTAACTACAGTATTTACCTAACTCCTGTTAGCTGTTGTAACTACAGTATTTACCTAACTCCTGTTAGCTTTTGTAATTACAGTATTTACCTAACTATTGTTAGCTGTTTTAACTACAGTATTTACCTAACTCCTGAAGCTGTTGTAATGACAGGGTGTCCTCTGTTGCTTCTTCATCATCTTCTGGCTCGAAAATGATATTTATTTCTGAAACACACATTATTATTTCAATGAAGACTATCTTTACTGAAATAAACTGCTTCCTCATGAAGATTTAACCTCTTAATTGATTAATATTGAAAATATTTTATTTTCAATCATGACTTTGATTTGAAGACAACAGAATCACTATTGAATCTTCTTTAGACATAAATTAAATGTATGTGCATGAAAAAAAAACCATTTTAACAATTTATTTCAGAAACAATCCCAGTAACCAACATGGTAATTTTTTAAGTAAATAAGGAACTCATTTGAAAAGGTAGCATATATCCTTAAGTGATTAGATTCTTCATCTTTCATAACAACCTTTGTTTCTCTGGCTATTTTGTGTTGTTGGAGTAGTTATAGAATCTGTTGTTACCATCTGTGAGGATACACATTTTGTTTCTGAAAAAAAGAAAATCATAACATTTTACTAGCTGAATCAATGTTTATCACAAATACACTGACACATATGCCATTGGCATTCAAAGTGGGCACAGCTAATCAATTTTAACCTCTGAATAGTGACACTTATGACCCGGACTATAGGTAATATTTTTTATTCTTGAAATTTGTCAGGCTTTCACCTAGAAACACCATCCCACCAAATATCCTGCTTCTCCAATTTTTGGTTTTCCATAATAAGTCCTTCACAGGTTTTGACCATTTGACCCTTGTGAATTTGAATATAGCTCAGATCATTTCAGTTGGATTCATTGTTAAAATCCCAGATAGCTGCCTGTCTGCTATTTTTTTCTTTTAATTTCTGAAAATCCCAAAATCAAAAGGGCACTTTAAGATTAAGGGAAACTTAGTGATAACATCTACACAAGATCTACTCAGTGCTTCTTAAGAAATATGGAATCATTTAATAATTGATGACAGAAAGAAGGATGAATGAACAGTGTGAATTAATCTGCCTACCATCTGTGGATGAAGAGCTAAAAAACCCTAAATTGTAATGATATGATTGGTAAATACTGAATTGTAAGTTGTTGATTAAACTAAGTACTCTGTCAAATTATCCAAATTTGTCATATTTCCCCTACGTTGAGACCAGGGGGCCAACATACAATCACATAATGTCAGAAGGCTGGCTTATTACAGGGCACTGAAATAACATATGTTTGTAATACTGCACATTAATAGATATGTGTGGACTTGATACCAAATAAATTTGAGGTTTTTCTTGTAAAACCAATTTTAATGATGTAGTACTTACCATAACTTTAGTATGCATATCTCCCACTAATTCCCATTCATTTGGATATAATATTAATGAAAAAAGAGAGACTCCAACAACTCCCTGTAGGGAGCCCCTCTATCTGCCCTTAACACCTGAGACACATCCTTCTTTATCACTTAGGCTACAGATGAAAGCGCAGGATAGAGAGGAAGGGGAGGCAAGATAATTTGTTATCAACAAACATAGGTTGGGACTCAATAAAGTTATGGTAAGTATTACATCATGAAAATTGGTTTTATATGAAAAACCTCAATTTCATTTCAGTAATAATTACTTTAGTATGCGAAACAGGAGGGGGAACAGCCACAGACTGTGCCACAACCAAGGGCCCCAAGGAAAACAGATCGTCAGAAAACGACATGAGCAACTGTAAATAAAAGTCTGTGAAAGTGGTCTGTCCTCCCCAGAAAGCGGCTGACATAACCTCCAGAAATGAAGAGCCTGAAAGGAGGGCCCACGACGTAGCGAGAGCCCTGACCTCATGTGCCCTTGCATCCCCTCATCAGAGTGGTCATAAGCAAAACGAATTACCAACGGGATCCATGCCCACCCCCCCCCCACATTGCATTGCTTTCCAATCCCTTGAAGCAGGGACCCAGTTGGAAAGAAGGAACATTTACAAGGGCCTGATGTGAAGATGCCCCAGTGGGACTACATCAGCCAGGGAACTGAGATACCTTAGAAACCTGAGGAACCAACGCTCCTGAACCCGGGACATGTCCATGAAAGCTAGAGCCATGTCTTGGGCCTTAACAAACTTGTCCTCTGGTGGAAGGACAATGTCGTGAACCGTATTGAAACGGTAACCAAGTAACACGAAGTCCTGAGAAGGGGACACCTCCGACTTCTCTCTGGAGGGAATGAAGCCTATCTTCAGCAAGAGCTTCAGGACCAAGCGTGTATCCCGCATCAAAGAATCCCTGACCATGTGTGACATGAGGGAATCATTGAAGTAGATGTGAACATCTATACTCCAAGAATGCAGGAAACTCACCACCACCTGTAAGAGTTTGGTAAAATCCAGAGGAGCAGTGGTAAGTGGCCAGGAACTGGAAACCCTGCCATCGCAAGTAAAATGGAGGTACTTTCTTTCCGACTTCTCAGGGCTCGCGCTGGCGATCGCCAATGGCGCCATTGGCGAAAGTGAAATGAGATTGGCGATTTCAAATTTCTATTGGCGAAAATGCCGATTACAGACATTTCCAGTCACTGATGACTGTATAGAGAAAAATCACTGGCGTTTAACTTATTTGTAACGAGTGACACAGGTAAATTTTGCTCCGACATCGTTGTGTACTACACGGTCACGGCTGACTGACTCCCGCAGCTGGGGCAAGGTCAGCTATCAGAACTCTTTTGTGTTTTGACAGCAACGTTTACCTGTCTAAACAGCAACACGCCTGTAATGAAAATCGCCAATTATCCAATGATGTCTCCATTGTCTCAATCCGAGATAGCCTCTGCCGTGAACAATAAGGTAAGTTAGCTGAAGGAAAGATGTTGTTTTATCGGGAATTGGCTTACGTAAGGTCGATCATTAGGTGTGTCGATGTCGTTAATTGGGCATGAGTTTGTGATTTCTGCAGACATAACTTAGTAAACTAGTGTATTTGAAAGGGCCCGAAATAGGCTTCTTAACCTTTTTGATCGACTATTAAAATAGCAAGAAACACAAGATATAATTTTGTTGTTTTTACACTATGTTGCCGATTTTGTTTTATATTTTTGTACATATTTTGGTCACATCAGATTTGGCCCTTCACTAAGATAGATCGTTAGATGAAATGGGAAAACGTAAACTCCCCTTTAGTGATAGGGATGGGAAAGTACCCAGATTGTCATCATTTGGTTTTAAGACACCATCTATTGAAAAGGAAAATGACAACCCTGATCAGGTTACTAACAAGGGCAGTAGTTCAAGAAAGTTTCTAGATCGTTGGAAAATTGGCAGGCCATGGCTAAAATATGACCCAGAGCAAAAGCTCATATTTTGTGACATATGTATGAAGGCATTAGTTAGAAATAGTTTCACTGATGACTGCAGTAAGAAAGAGTGCTTGGTTAAGCATGAGAAAGGATCAGGTATATACAACTATTCATCATTTATGAACAGAAAATTATGTAAATTTAGATTAAGTAATTCAGAAATACTATACAGCCTGGAGGATGGTACAATGTAGTTACTCATTACAGCCTGCTTGGCACATGAATTAGAAACACAATCTTTTAGTTTAACGATTATGTCTTTATTATCTCTGAAATGTTTTTAAGAGATATATTACTTAGGAAGTTACTGTAATAAGTATAATACTTTGATGGTGTAAAATAAGGTTCAATGTAATCCTGTATCTCTCTGCAAATGTCCAATTCTATTCTAAATTTTATTTTCAATTTTACAGATGAGAACTCTCACTCTGCTGCTTTGGCAACCCAACAGCAAACTGTCGAGATGCAGAAGGCCTGTAATAATTTCATGTTTATAAACTCTTTTACCATATACTGTATTATGTTTTGATGTATTGTTGTTAAAACAGTGAATAAATAATGTAATTATATAATTAGCATATTTGTTATTATTATATGAGGGAATTAAGGGCTCGTCGGGTGAGGGTGAGGGCGAGTTCCGGAATCTGTTTGCGCGCTTATAGCAAAAAAAATTTGGTTTGGCGAAACTGAATTTTGACCCAGAGCTAGCCCTGCTTCTGTATGGGGATATGGAAATAAGCATCCTTCAGATCGATTGAGGTTGCCCACATATCCTTCCCCAAGGAAGCAATGATGCTTCGTGGGGTCTCCATCTAGTAGTGAGGAGAATCTGTGTGCTTGTTGAAAGCACTCAGATCGATGATCAGCCGCCAAGCACCAACTTCTTCTGGACCAAAAACATTCTGGAGTAGCTGGGCGTGCATCCCACCGCTGGAGTCTCCTCGACTGCACCACAGAACTCAGTAATGTGGTGGCCTCCCGGACCGATGACGCCGAAGGAGGTGGGCAATCCTTCTCGCCGAGAATAAAGACAACATCCGTGCACAATGCATGCATGCCCGAAATGAGGTAGGAAGCCTCAGCTACCACCTCATCCTCAGCCTCATCTGACGACTGGGGCTAACTATCAGAAGGAGCACCATCTGAAGATAGGACTTCTGATAGGAGGTCATCAAGAAGAAGCAGAGTGGACCGCCTGAGAAGCGGAAGCACTACTAGCCCGGTATCACTTAGTGCCGGCTGAATGAGCCCCCCAACGGGAGGATTGTTGGGAAGGAGGGAGGACCACCAAACTACTGTACCTCTGCTGGTTTGGGGAAACCAAATCCCAAGGGTTCCAATGAGAGAATGGAAAGGGACCAAATCTAAACCCTTGAGGGTAGGAAGATGGACCCCATGGTTGGGAGTGACCCCAGGGTTGACCAAAGTGGCCTGCCTGAGACTGGGGCTGGAAACCCTGACCAATGGCCGAATGAAATCTGCCACTCCCACTGGAAGCAGACCCATGCATGTACGGGTTGGAACTGCTATTGCTGGGATACTGAGTCCCCAAACCACTCAAAGAATGGTTTGGTTGTCCTGGGAAACCATGTGCAAACCCATGATTAAAACCGAAACTAGGGGAAGGCATCGGGCAGAAACCGCCTGACTGGTCAGCCAACCGAAAACCCCATGTAGAACCCGGGGTTCCCAGACACTGATAAACCTATACCAGTCAACAAAGTGACCGGAATCGGGCAACGAAAGACCAGACGGCGCAGGAAGACTGTGGTCCCGTCCGGAAGCCAGACTCGCTAACAAGAGGTGCCACCTGTAAACCTAAAGGATTACAGGGTGGTGCCTCAAAACCTGGAGGCGGGGCCAACCCAGGAACCGGACATGGACCCTCCCCAGGACCAGAAGCCACCAATACACTGGAGGCACTAAACATGTTAGTACCCAGTGATTGGGACACACACCTACCCGAAGGCAAGCTCTGAAAAGGCTTACGGGGGGTCCCAACCGATTCGGCATCAGAGCGATCCCACTCTGAGCCGGACTGCTCCTCCCAAGAACCAGCCTGAGGCTGGGAGGAAGGGGCCACCCCCTGGACCCCAACCAACTCTGCCGAAACGGAGACGGTGGGTCCAGGCACAAAGTCACCATGGGCAACATCCTTAGACAACCAAACGAT